CAGTAGAATTTGCTTTGCATTTTGATAGTACTTGCCATTACAATCTTGTACCTTATCTCAGAGGAAGAGAAGACTGTTTGGTTTGGACTTTGGCAAATCAAGTGACAAGATTTTGCAAGTCTGAAATATTAAGAGATTTGTTCAAGTAGAAACTTAAAATACTTGAACTTTGTGGTTCTGTAGTCATCTTTGCTAAACAGTCTAAAAGTATGTGGTAAATAAGGTTGCTGATCAGTTTTACTGCGGTAAAGAATTTATTCTGGATGAAATTTTGTTATCTCTGATGCATATTCTAATTCTGATATCAAACCCATATAAAACAGTGAAAGCATAGGGGTTTTTTTCCATTTCTGTTTTTGGTGAATATGTTACATGAGTATGAAAATACTCATATTTTCTCCCATTTATGTCTGTCTACTTGTGCTCCAAAAGTTACGTTTTATGTTCATATCTAGGATTCCTTGAAAGCAGTTTCTTCACAGTATTAATGAACCAGACTGCAGTTTATACAACTTAATGAAGGTTTTGATTTCCAATCTAATATAATCTGCTGACACAGATGGACTCAATGAAGCCACTGAAAATTAGTCTAATAACAGCAGGGGAAAAAACCAGTAATAGCTAAGTTATTTTTGGCTCTGAATCTCTAAAATGATGCATAGTTTTATAGGTGGAAACGTGCACAGTTGGAATAACTAGGGAATAGACGTATAAAATGATGCACTAAATAGATATCTGTGGACTCCATTGACCAGTTGTCGCTTTTTGTCTCCATAGTATCATAATTTCAGTACAAGTATTTAGGAATATAGAAGATGGGGTCTCCCTACGAACCAGTTGGCTGGTGGCTAAAAATAGTTGTTTGCATTTCACAATCTGGAGTTCTTTTGTTATTGATGTAAGCAACACTAGGATTTATCTGCCTGTTTAGGAAATAGTAAGCACAAAATGCTAGCATATGCAATGATTTTCCTAGCCTACTGTATTTGAAGGTAATATCTCATGCTTAATTGCAGGAGATTTAGACCTTGATCTTCACAAATTGAATTACTTGGGGTTTTTTCTGAAGTCTCTTCTGTGTCAGTCTGGAAAATAATGTATGTTTTTGTTGCATACTTCAGATTTCCTCTTTTTTTTTGTCTTGTTGCAGTAATTCAAAGTACAATTTCTTAGCTTTTTGTCTTCCAAAAACCTAACAGGAAATTCAAAACCATTAATTTAATCCATTCTTTGAAAGCAAAAAAAAAACCAAACCAAACCAACAAAACAAACTGCTATGCTCCTAATAAAACAACTTGCATTACCATAGTTACAACAAGGATGTTATGAAGAGAAGGATGTGTTTCCGGCAGAACAATTTGCTTTTCAGAATGATTTGTGAAAAGCCAGCTGATACTTGTTAGCTCTGCTGCAACTGTAATATCCTCTTTTCAGTGTTTTCCTAGAAACTTTCAGGTTATATAATCTTTCTTTTTTCCTACTCTTTTCAGAGTAATTCTGCAGTCCAGTGTTCAGAAAAATAAAACCTCTGAACCTAGCATTTCTGACAGTACAGACATTACTAAAAGAACTACCAGGTCTGCTGCAAGAAAAAACAATTTTAAAAGGTGAGAGTTACCCTCTTTACAGATCCAGTAACTGTTCTGTAGGCAAATACTTTGAGCTGGCACATCCATTGCTGACAGGAGCTTTTGCCGCAGTTCAACTCGTCCTCCTAGCAATGGGAAATGAGAAACAATTTTATGGTTTATGTCATGTACTGACTGAGAATATCTGGAACCTTATATCTTATGTCATTTGTTTATGTTGCTCAGTCTTTCAACTTCGAGAATTTTGTATTGTAATTCCTAATGTGAGTCAGAATTACTGACGGTGAGAGATTTTGGTAACAAAAAAAAGCTTTTCTTTACGAAATCTCCGCCTGGAGTAAGAAGGTGGAAAAGTTGTTCACAGCATTAAGTCAATTATTAGTCAGTACATGAAGTCAAAACTAAGAGGAATTTGGTGGACAACTGGAATGCAGTAGTAGCGGAGAGGCGAAGTGTGTAAAATGCATGTGTATGCTGGTATGAGATATTGTACGGAGAGTATGACTGATAATCTGAACTGAACCTGTTCGGTAAAGCTTAATGAAGTTTTAAATTCGGATGGATTTGTGCAAGACTGAAAGTGCCTTTTGGCCCAGAAGCATACGGCCATACTACTACTATGTTTCTTCGTGTGTGCCTGTGTCCGTGCCCCTCTAAGGCAGCTCTCCAGGTCATTATCAAAGATGAGCCTGGGAGTGTAGCTTAAAACAATTTCCAAGCAATTTCCAGTGGTTACAATTGACCAGAATTTGTCTTGTGCTTACAGTGAAAAACTTTTGAATGGGTCTCTCAGGTGCTGAAGAGACTTACTTTTGTTGGGAAGAGTCAGAGGTGTCAAGTAACATAAAAAGTAGTTATGTAGTTTGATCCATAAATATTGCTGAAAATTCCAAGTTCTTGTGCAGCTTTTTCCCCACAGAGCTTTTCTTTCCCCTTCCTCATCCTGTTACCTTGAAGGTAACAGAAGTTATGAAAAATGCACTCTATCAGGCAATGGAAGTAGTCATTATAGTAGATTGCAGTAAATTCTAGTCAAAGAATTTTTATCAGTGGCTATATGAATTACGTTTTGATTCATATAACAATATGTTAAAAAATAATCTCTTTTTCCTTAAATGCATGTTTTACTAAAAATCTGAAGTATTTATCAGGGTTTTCCTGTTTGGTTGGTTGTTTTTTTCTTCCATCTTGCATCGTTTTCCCCATGTCAGTTTTGGTCCAAACAGATTGATGGGATTCTGCCTGCTGTTTTTATTCTTCATGCCTCTCCCAGTTTCAAGCTCTTTGCAACTCTTCGTAGCGTGTATTCATGCACATGTGTAACTGAACAGAGATTTTCAATTCCTGGAAAACACACCTCCAAGTTGACCTTTGTGTTGTGTGAGATGAGAATACCTATCCTTAGGAGGAAACAACATTCCTAAAATAGAGTTCATAGAAGATTTCAGTTATTTTGAAAGAAATCCTTTAGGTGTATTGCCAGATTTATGACTCTGAGGACCAAAGACCAGGCTGATCTCAAACTTTATAAACTACTTCATATTTTAATGGATTTTCTAAAACTTCTACCCCAAATATTTCATTCCATATACTGTTTCTTTTCTTCTCACTTTTGAGGTCAAAGAATTTCAGTCACTTTATGCTTGGATCCAATAATCAAATTCGTCCTGAATAGTTATACCACAGTCCTGGAGTTCTTAATTATCTTGTCATCTGGGAGGGCTAATTGGGTGCTGCTCCCTCTAAAGGGTATTTTAGTATGACTGTACAATTTCATGGACTTAGAATGCAGTACCTTGTTGTTAATCTTGGAGGTGTCCTTTTATTTTTCCTGTAGCATTTGGAAAAACCTCACTCTTTTTTTTTTTAAGCATCCCTTTGTTTTTTCATCTCTTTTATTTTTATTTTAATTTCTTGAAGTCTGTGCAGTTAGCATTAGCTCATAGTGCTCAAATTGATTGACCTATTCCAGATCAAGTGGATTGCAGGGTAGAGGACAATAATTATTATTAAAAAATTGCAATCATCCCCTAACCAACATCTGTCTTTGTCGAGACCTTGTTGCCTTCTCTGAACTTCCGACATTATTATGTACCCTTATTCTTTCATTTTCTTGTCTGATATGTTCCAGTGGAAACATCTTGCAGTATTTTTACATTAATCTCGTTGTTGAGATTTGTCATTTTGGTCAATTCTTACTGTAGATGAATCCTAACACAGTATAATCCGCAGAGCTGGGTAATTCATTTGCCATTTCATCCTTCGGACTGTTGGAGACACTAGCATAGAATGTCTCCAGAATGAATTTTCAGCCAAAACAGCCATTTATAGCTAAAACACTCTACTCTGGCTTTGCAAAGGGAATTTAGGGAATTTCAGTCCTATTCGTAACGTTCACTGCATTTCCTTCGTGGAACATCTCTAGCTGTGAGCTGCCATCTATGAAGGACCAGTACTGGTGGACGTAACACATTATATCTTGTGATTGAAATAACACTGTTGTTGAACTGCAAGAAATCACACGACTGGAGCGTTATCCAGTTGTCTTCTGCAGATGCCTTTGTTTCTCCAGTTATGACATCTTCCTTGTAAATTTGCCAGTTACTGAGAAGTTCGTGTTTGTATTTTAACAAGGTGCATACATCAGACCCAAACCAACTGAATCATAGTAAGACACAGTGAAACAGTCTTTTCCGTGTTACCACACATGACAGAATTAGGATTATGTATATAGTAAGTAGTTGATTAGAAATGAAATCTTGAGCGGTGAAGGAATTTTGGTAGGTAGAAGTGCTTAAGGGAATGCAGGTCAAGTTATTACAAAAAAATAATTGTGAGTAGGGGTGAAAATGTACAAAAACTCTATGGTATAGATTCCTTTGCTTCTTTTAACTAGAGAGGTATATCACAAAAACTAACAAAGAGGAACACACTTTAAAAATCTCATATGCTTTTGCTTTGCTGGAAATTGTAAAGAAGCCTTCTGCACCCTTGTTCAAACACTGAAAACTACCTGCAGCATTTCAGAGCTTGTCTGTATATAATCTAAATCTAGCTTTAAAAAAATTAATGTTTCTTTACTGTTCTTTCTACTTTTCCTACAGTCTGATACCTCAGAGGGAGAGAAAGAAAAGGAATGCTTTACAGCAAATGCGCTTAATGAAATTATGGTACTTTGAATCCTCTGTTGCTTTTCTGTACGGAACGGAATCTTTCTTCATATTGTCTGTGATCAGACCAGTCCGTGCTTTCTTTACAACCAATATTGCTGTGTTCTTAAACGCACTGACTTTTTTCTTCTGTTTCTTTCTTTGAAGTATCGTTTGCTCATTTTACCTTGCCAGAAATGTTTGCTTGAAATACATACTGAGTATATATTTAACTTTTTTCCTCAAATATGTTTTATTTCAGCAGCCAATCCGTCCCAAGGACTAGAACAGTATTGCGTTAAATTTCAAAGAAGCAACCAGTGTTGAAGAGCATATTCAGGAGTAAAGGGGATGTGACTAGAGGGGACTTGATGCAATTCAAGGAAGATTACTTTGGCTCCATTTTTCATCAAAAGTGAAACAGAAGAATCTCTTCCGTACTTCTAGAATAAAATGAACCGTCAACATGCTTGGTAGAGACTTTCCTAATGTGCTAACACTTCCTCAAACAAAACCAATAAAATCTGTGTACCTTGAGACTCAGGTGTAAATACTTAAGCTCTCTATTATAAAGAGGGCTTGCTAGTATGTATGATGCATGTGTATAAATTGTGATGGCAATCACTTAGCTGCTGACCACCAGAAATGAAAAGATGGTGGGAGCTTTTAAATATATAAATCTGTGTTGTCCATTCAGACTGGGCTCAAGTCTCCACTTGAGACTGAAAATCAACCACAAAAGCTTTTTTTCTTATAGTATTGGTACACTCCTGTGTTAATTGGCTATTCTTTCTTATTTTGTATGAAGTTTTTTATGAAGCCACAGTATTGAGTACACAAAGTAACTATTGTCCACCAAAGAGTGCTTTATTTTCAAAGGTTGTGTGGTTTGTTTATTTTGAAAAAACTAACTATAAGCAATTGACTTTTTTTTAATAGTAATAGATTTTTAGTTGTTCACAACCAATGGCTCTTTTAACTAGTTGTAATTGCTTTAAATCTGGTATCATTTTAAGGGGGAGGAAAAACAGCTTACCATTTAAAGCAGTGCTGTCTTATTGAAATGTCATTACAGTTTCTTTTTCTATCTTCAAGTCTTTTAGGTGAAACTTTAGACTACCATATCTAAAAGGTAAGAATTTTTCCCGGGTTTTATTGGTACAGTTGATAACATGTGGATGTCGCTGGTTTTTAGCTTTGAGACACTTAATGAGTGCAGCACACAAAAAAGGGAAAATAAGCTTGCTGTACAACTGAGATTGGTAGTGGAACTCAGGGGCAGGTATAGTTTTTAACATCTAGTTAACACTTTAAAAACTACAGCTTACCTCTGTTAAAAAGCAGTGTAATTTTTAGAGGAATCTGTCCCAGACTGAAATTTTCATCTGCTACAAGCCTGTCTTCAAACACTGGCAGTGTTTTTTCCCTGCCACTTCTCACGTTATGAAATCTTAAAGCTGGTTTTGCAGTGATGTACCCTTGTCTGCCAACTGAAGCTTATAGCTGCATATCCCTCAGATGAGGACTGTTACCACATAGCCTTAAATATGATACAGTTATCTGTTGATGTAGTGACTCTTACAGTAGAAAGCAGAAGAAATGGAGGGATCTGAAATCAATGGAGTAACTGAAGTTTTTAAAGATACAGATTACCTCTGCAAGGGGGAGAATTTTCTTTTTATGAATGTAAATGGGCAGGTTCAGTGACTGGTTTCAATCTACATCCTTTTAAATTAAAATTAAGCTTTCTGTTAGGCTGGGGATTTTTGAATGCCAATATGAATAACCACACATTGGCTTGAAAACATTTTGTGGCAAGAGCATCAGGAATTGGAGGGGAAGCAGGATGTGAAGTGTTAAGTAAGCTTACAGGTGGCATCTGTGGGTTTGGATAGTCAAAATTTGCAAATATGAATACAAAGAAAATAGAAGAGGCTTGTGTGGTGCCAAATAAAGGACTATTGAGGCTCAGACCCCAAATATTTTTTGTTTTCCTCTTAATCTTCACCCTCACCATCATTTTCTTCTAGGTGAAAAGCACCTAAAAGGGGAGGGACAGAATTCACCCTGATAAAGTGATTAAAATTTCTTGTCTTTTTTGTTAAGTAAGCCACTTGCCCAAAAGCTGACGTACAGGTAACCACAATAGTAGATATATTGTGCAAATACGAATCTGTTTATTTTTTAAAAAAATTCTTATCTTGGAAGGTGGAAGGAGTGAAACTAGTGAGGTGAGAGGGTGAGAGTCAAAACAAGAAAGGTTTAGTAATATTTATTGTGTTTGGCTTCCTCTTTTAGCATCTTTGGTTTTAACCTAAAAATACTCTATTTCACACCCCTTCCAAATTGGAATTTGCCTTTTTTAAAGTAAGCAGCAGAGCCATTAGCACTTTCAGGTTCATCAGAAGTAAATTTGCATAAAACAAGTGCACAAACACACACAATAGCAACTCTAGCTAAACCAAAACTGCATGTTTGGCATGAATGTGTTTCAGGATATCCCTTCCACCACCCAGTATCTTAGTGAGAAACACATAAATGTCAAAGGGGTTTTACATTTGAACTCTCCAAACAGCCTTATATGGAAAATTAACTCATTACCTCATTGTGTCCCATCTAATCGTATTGCTTAGTTTGTTCTTCTGAATTTTTAGTACTTTGTCTAGCATTTTTATTATACCATACCAAAGCTGTCTTAAGTACAAGAGTGAAGAGTGGGCATGGGTGAAGGGAGTCCTTGGTTTCTAAATCTTTTTTGAATTGTGAAGTATTATGTGCCAAAATGGAACGTGTGGCGGCAGCTGCATCACCATTGTACCACGCAGCAGCTGAAGGAAGTTATTTCTGCTGTCATCAATTAGGAGGTTTTCCTTAGAAATTCTTTCCCCTCTTTCAAATACATGACAGATGGATTCTCCCTTGATCTCTTATTCAAAAGTATGCAACATACTCAAAAGCTGTAATATCTTGGGTCAAATTGCTAGCTTCCATGACAACATCAATAACTTAACTCAGATGTTAACCCAGACCTTTTCTTTTTGCCCCAGTATGACATAGAGGAAGTGCTGCTGATTTAAAACAAAAAAATAAGATTTGTAGAGACTCATGCATTAAAATGGAAAAAAAAGAAAAATGTGATGTTCACCAGTTTGTTGCACTGCAGTTTTTATATTAATGGTTTGCAGACTGTTTGTCTTGCATAAACTCATGTACAGACTATCAAGATCTAAAATTTCTTGACTAATCAGTACTGTTCATCCTGATTATTTTTAAATTGTATATTTCTAATCATATTTTTTTAACTTGGATTGACAGAATGGGAGTTTATTTTGCTGAAGGTATTTTTAAGATAAAGCTTCATATTATCTTGTAATATTAAGTAGTTCAATATGCATTTGTGTCTCATTTGAAAATACTGCACATTGTATTTGATTTTATACAAAATATTGAATAGTGAGAATTGTAAACATGAATTGTGTAAAATTAAAACTAATAATCAGAAGTTTGTTTTCTCACTTTTATTTCCAGCATTCAAAAAAAAATTCAGCACAAAACCATCCTATCTGTATCACACTGATTCATATATGCTCTGACAAATAATGCAAGAATCTCAGCTCCTGAAAACCTTTAAAGCACAAATCCTTAGAACATACAATTGTCTAATTTCAAAAATAGAGAACTGGCTCTACATTTCAGGGGACTCACTTTGGAAAACTAGTAATTGTATTTTAATTGTTGGGACACTGTTATCCAGTAAAAAACACGGATTGGGTTCTAGTTAATTTGTTTCCTTCCTCTATGATCATATAGTACTCATTTTTGGAAACAGGCATCATATTAAATACTATATACTTGGATACTTACCATGAAAGTGAAGGTTTCTCAAAATAAAAACAAAATTTTCAGGAACACTTCTTTTTGCGTAAGAGTTGATGGTGGTCTTGTTTAGTCTTTGAAAAAAAACCCAACAGCAAAAAATACTGACCAACTCAAATACTTCTAATCACCCTTGCCTTACCTACATTAGAAAATGCAGAATTTCACACCCCAAGCAGAGCCTGTTTGACAAGCAAGTAAACTTTCACTTGCTCCAAAGACACGGTTTTATGGTTGGAAAATCCATGTTCATCTGTGGTAAGGTGATCCTTTCTTACATGAAAGGATCTTTAAAGGTGGTTCTTTAAACCACTTTTTCCTGACAAACTAGTTGCCTGCTGAAGAGTGAATGATGGCTTTTGCCTGGGAAAACACTGATTTATGCATGCGATGTCCAGAGGAAAACACAAAGCCCTATCATATCATCAGTGATTTAAGGAGTATTGGCACTGGGCAGGGGAGGGTGGAGGACTAAAAAATCCTACAGAGAACTGAACAGTGGCCCAGGTGAAATCCATTGACAAGTTAGTGCACTGCGAGAATAAAAATATTACAGTATTTCTGAGTAACTTCGATTTGGCTCTATTTAGCCTCCTTTGCATTACAGTTTCTACATAGCCTATGCAGTAGGTAAAAATATGCTGTAGCAAAACAGATGTGCTGTTCAGAAATACTCAAGGCTGGCGTTAAAGAGAAACTGCATGCTTTAAGACTAACTCACTGAGAGTTTGTTGAGGAAGAGATGTTTGCTTTTTCTTGCATTTGTTTTTTTGGGGTTGGTTTCACATGGGTGTGACTGACCAGTAAGCCCCTAAAATGGAGTAAGGCTGAGAGGAGATGGGCAAGGGTGATGTGTCTGTGAAGCTCAGGGAACCTCAGGAAGCGGCAGGGTGTGGTGGACCACAGCTGTTGCAAAGAAGATGACTTTATCTCAACACAAAGGGGACCCGAGGGTAGCCTTTGTTTTAGATAAACGGCTTTCAACAATTGAGTGGATCAACTGGTGGTGTAAATGCTTCTCCCCCAGTTCTTTAGAGAGAGTGAATGTCATCCCTGAGCTGGCCAGACCAGCACAGGGAGCACAAATACATGGAGTATAAGCCCCAGACAACTGCCAGAAGAATTCCGAAGAGAGCAACGGGCTTGAGCTGGCATCAATCCTCCTATTCCTTCCCGGCGACTGGGGACACTGGTGGTGTCAATAAGGATACCGTAGGGACTGGTAATGGGAGTCACGCTGGTATTGTGATTGAACTGTGTATTGCAATTGCTCTGTTTTGCAAAGCGTAACTTGCATTTGTGTTGTGTTTTCAGTATACTTTGTATCACTCTAAATCAGAAACGCCATGTGACATCAACCATCTTCAAGTAAATTTGGTACTAAGCATGACACCCTCCATCCATGGGATATCTCCAAGAGCCTGGTCCAAGTGTTGGACTGTGACAAGGGGGACTGGGGAGGGGATCTGGAAAGTCTGTCCTTCAAATAGGTCCACTCCTGGTCTGTGTCCTCCCTATCAAACTCTGTCCCAGTCCACAAGGCTGCTAAAAAATCTGTGGCAAAACCGGACAGCCCAAGCAGCAGCTGCCATTTCTCACCCCTCAGCCCGGCACACAGTGGCCCTGCTGCATGGCAGCAGATGAAAAGCACTTCTGTGGCACTACCACCTCCGACTCCCAGCTTTTCCAACTACGCCAGCTGCTGCAGACCAGTTAGGCCACAAACAGGATGAAGCGGTAAATCCCAAGCTCCTTGTGCCCCGACTAGACACAGGGAGCAGCTATTACTAATGCAAGAAAATCCAAAGTGATTGCTGCCTATAGCAGGAAGATAG